GTGAGTAGAGTTTGTTTTCCGCACTTAGATGGGTATGCATGACCTAATGACAGTTAAAACAGATAGTAACACGAATACATAAAAGCGGAAGGAAACACGGACTATTCAGAACGAAAAATGACACTGAAGATGGCACAACGCCGAAACCGGTTTGTCTCCAAACCAAGTTTGAAAAGGGATGACGGAAAATCGTTCCACAATACATCAAATAATATAAACTTTTTATTTTGACCAGTTTTGGCTATATTACTTTTGTTTATTCGATGTTTAATATTTTTTTATAAAAGGCTAGGCCATTACATATATAACACGCATCATATAAGTCCACATTTCCAACTTTGTACAAAAATTATACAAATTCAATAAATATTACAGAAATCCCCCAAAAATTTCAATCTTTTTAATACGTTTTTTTTTAACTCAATTTTAGTATGTCAAAGTGCAAAACTCAAGACAATAGTAAATCGCGTTGATTTTTAATCTTTTTTTTTTGGCTAACGATGTTGTGCATGTTCATTCAAATAAAGTACTGAGCTCGACCATGCTCAAAATTTCTTTTTATATGGAAGAAAATGCCAAGCAGCGTCAGCAAAAATATTATTAAAAATCAACGCTATTTTCTAGTGTCTTGAAATTTGCACATTAACTACTAAAACTAAATGGGCTATAAAATTGCATACCAAAAATGTTTCAAAAATATCTGATTAAAAAGTTTGAAATTTTTGGGGGATTTCGGTAAAATTTTTGAATATTTATATTTTTTTTTACAAAATTTGAAACGTGGATTTATATGATGCGTGTTATATAATGCCTTATAATTTTATAAAAAAAAATATTAAACATCGAATAAACAAAAGTAATATAGCCAAACCCGGTCTAAATAAAAAGTTTATATTATTTCTTCCACCATTGTATGTAGTTACACAGATATATATTGTAAGCTTACAATAAGTAGTTTTAATAAGTCCTATAACCCTGATAAATTCATGAACCTCAACATTTTATTTAATATTACATTCAAAATTACTCGTACAAGTTCTATGTGAATATATTTGTCATCTAGGGGCGGGCGCCCGCTCGTGGGCGTCACCATAATATTGTTATAACTCTGGAACTAATTGCTGTTTAAACCTGAAACTTTCCCAAAAATTTCCTCAGATATTCGTCTATAATGATACTTTAAAACAAAAGCGGTTTGAAAAAACTACCTCCATAATTTTTTTAAAAAAGTTTAAAAATCCGCCATTTTGTTTTTAATAAGTATTAATAACTATACTTAAACTCAGTTTGTTTAGAATAGTATCTAGTTTATTGCGTAAAAATTTGAAAACAATAGATAATAAAATGTGTGAGACATAGCGAGTTTAAACTAAAATTTCGCAAAAATTTGCCGCTGTGAAAAATGAGGTTTATGGCATTTTCGACCTAAAGGCATCAGTAAAAACTTGGTTAAAATTAACTGTAAATGTATTTCTGTGTAAGCTATCGATTACAATTGGTTTTAACTAGGGATGTTAATTTTTCGGCTTTTTCCGATCCCGGGACTTTCGGGATAGCGTTGTCACAATCTCGGGATCCCAGGATTAGTCCCGGGATTTAGATATTCATTACTTTTCAACAACTTGAATCTAAAAAATTGCTTCTGTATTGTTTGAGAAGCTCTCCTAGCATGAAATAAATAATAAATAAATGGGTTTGAAACCTACTTTTTCATTTAAAGAGGATTTATTTTGAAGGACTTTGTAATTTCATAGATATGATTAATTCCAAAAATTATTAAAAAATTCCATGCAATGTAGAATAAAAATATGGGTAACAAATGCAATAGGAAATTTCTTTGTAATAAAAAAAATGTAATTTGTTGGCGCTTCTGTACTAGAAACTTGAATCTGTTTAAATTCCACAGGATTTCCTCATTAATTTTATATCCATACTTCTTCTCTAAACACATTTCTCTGAATTTTTTAACCTCTTCAGACCCGGGGTACACATATGTGCACCTTTTTATTTTTCCTCTAAAATCATTCTTTAATCAAAACGTATCTAGTAATATCATAAGTTTAATACTAAATTAGTGATAATTTAATAAAAATCGGTCAGGTTATCTGAAGAACTTACGAATAATACGCATTTCCAAATTAAATGTAAATAATCGATTCTTGTTGAATAGATTTGAAGGCAAAAGAAGTTTTACTTAGATAAGTTGGCCAAGCATTGCATTTTTTTATTGAGTTTTTTTTTCTTCTTCAAAATCGATGAAATTCAAATTCTAAAAGGAAACAGATTTGATAAATATTTTCTGTTCAGTTGGGGCGACAGTTCTATAACCCACTGGGAAAATAGGTAAGCACCTTGCGAGGTAAGCCATGTTTTCTTTCAGTTTTTAGTACCAAAATTGTCATCATGGCCAATGTCATCTACTAGTAAAGGGCAAAATGGACACCTCCGACTGTCGGAGTGCGACGACATATTACGTTGTCAGTTGCAAAATAACGTGCAGCCGAAGTTATTTCCAAGCACCGAACTACTCCGAGCGACTGCTCTGCATTACACGTAACTTACTTTGTAAAGCGGCTCAGAAGTATATCTGATACCAAATGTACATTCTAAATTCCTACATACATAAGGCGGCCATGCCTTTGTAAAAGTAAGGGACGTTCGGCAGGGAAATGGTAATGACTGCCAGGTGAAGAGTAAGTTGCTAATAAGGTATTATTACGTGCTCCTAATTCCCACTGGGAAGTGGTACACATATGTATGTGCACGTGGGGTTTCAATTAGTATTATTTTACACATTTACGGTGCAAATTTCAAAGCGTGTAAAAATGGATGATAGTGAAATTGAAAGACTTCTTATGGACAGCGATGGTGAGTTATCTAATAAAGATGACAATGAGTACGCATTGCCTCTGGATGAGTATGGAGGGTCTTCACAAGAAGAAGAGCAGTCTGATGAAGATATCAATGATGAAGCCAATTTTTCTAACGCAGCGCGAGTACTTTGGCGCAAGCAGAATATGGTTATGGAATATATATAAGGAATATGGCCGAACTGGGATTAGGAGCTGGTATCGTCAAGCTTTTATGTCGTACCATAAGTCAAACATGTGTTTTGTATACGGATCGATTTTTTACGAGTCTGAAGTTAGCAGACTATTTAAATAATATGATCAAAGATATATTTTTACTGATACAGTAATGAACAACCGATATGGACCAGTCCGGCAAAAGATCAAAATAGGTAAAAACTTAGCTCGAGGCGAATTTGATGAATGGGTCAGAAATGATGGAAAAGTGTTTATCCTAAAATGGACGGATTCAAAGGCAGTTACCATGCTATCTACTTGTGTCGGAAGCAATCCTGTAGACAAATGCAACTGCTGGTGTAAAGTAGAAACAAGAAAAATTGATGTCAACCAACCAGCAATAGTACGAAACTACAATACCTGCATGGGTGGAATCGATCTGTGCGACAGGCTTGTTGCTTACTACAGAAGTGCTATGCGTACTAATAAGTGGACCGTTAGAGTTTTTTCCCACTTCATAGATTTGTGTATCGTTAACTGCTGGATAATGTACATTCGCTGTTGTAAAGACGAAAATGTGGAGCCAAAAAATAGGTTAACCCTTTTGCAGTACAGATTGAATTTATCGGCCGATTATTTGCCGATTCTTTGGAATTTGTTTTCATATGTTCAGGTGAAGCGACAGACAACAGCCAACATCAAAAAACATTACAGACAGCTCACAAAAATTATTATTTTTTTTGGTTGAAGGTGTTTCACGTTTTTTCCATACAAAAGTATTTTCGACACACTACCAGCAGAAAAAAAATAATTAACGGGATTTTATAGCAGCTTGAAACATGCACCAAAATTCTGATTAAAAAGTTTGAAATTTTGGTGAAAATAAGCCGAAATTTTTTAATTTTTGTATAAAGTGTGAAATCTGAATTTTCTTGGTTTCAGCTAGACTTTTATAAAAAAAAATAATAAACATTAAATAAACCAAAGACAAATGCCAAATGCCAAAACCGGTCAAAATATCGCAATTCTTTTATTTTCTGGACCACTATGTGTATGTACATTAGACTCCCCATGCAAAAGAAAATCGGCACTGTTTTTTCATTGGAATTATAAAATCTGTTATATTTTAAGACTTCCATCAAAATATTTCGGAAATATATTAAGATTTACGTGAGCTGGATCGATTTGAAAATACCTCCAAAATAAAAATAGTTTATTAAAGATTTTTTTTAATTCCCTCAAATGACAAAACGGTTTAAGCTTAAAAAATTGGCATACAAATATTAAAAAAATATATATATATAAATTTTCAGCGAAATCGTAATAATGAGATTTTTGATGCTGTTTTTTTAACTATTTTCAAAGATTGATTTTACGAAAGTTCTCTTTTTGACTTAATTATACTTTTAAAGCCAAACTAAAATAGGATTACAGTAACTGACAATCAATTGTTTTGAAATTTTCATTTTCATATTAGTAAAATTAAACATTGTCAATAGGAGGACTATAAAATCTAAGAAGCACCCCACGGTTTGTTTTCCGGTAAAATTAATTTTATTGTCAATTACTTTAATCCTATATTTCATGTTGAATATCAAATAACCCGAGCGGGGACAAATATTTTTATATGGAATTAAAGAAATACCGTTCCAAAAGGAAACAAAACAGCTTACAATTAAAAACAAACAGCTTTGTTGGTGGTTTATTATTTTGATCGTGTAATACGGTTTTCGAGATTTCGTTTTTACCACCATAACAAATTTAAAAAGGGGGGACAAAAAAATAGCCCTTCGTTTGGAAATTACCGATATGTATTTATGGCCAACTTTTGCATGAAGTGTCGCCAGTGTGAACATTTGCTGGGCTTAACATTTACTTTCCTTGTATCTTTATTAGGATATTGACTACCTGAAAATCGTTGAGGATCTGATCTATTACTAAGGAACTGTTGGCACATTTCCTTTTATTTCGTTGATGGCTGCAACGAAAATTATTGATGCCCCTCGCAATGGCCATGAGATGGCGCCACTAAATACACGAGCACGGGGCGATGGAACTCATGGAGTCACAATTGTTCTCACCGCTTCCCAGCGCAACTCGGTGAGCTCGGTAGAAATACCGGGCGGAGAGCCCGATCGCGCGGCATGGTCCGGAAAAATGCAGTTCTTCCTCAGTATTATTGGTTATTCTGTAGGGCTAGGAAATATATGGCGATTTCCGTATTTATGTCAACAGAATGGTGGTGGTAAGTAAATTAATTTGTTCATAATCGCATCAAAATTGTTTTTTTGATAAGCGAAGTTCGTAAACTGTTTAACATTAGCACATTTAGCCTTAATTACTTACAATGTAAACAACATTTTTGATGATGATATATGTACATTAGGGTGGTCCAAAAAAGCATTTGAAAAAGTAAAGTCGGAATTGTTATGCTTAAATGGTTAAATAGAGAATTGGATATTTTCAAAAATTCTGTATTGTTTCTATGAAACGTAGTTTTTTTCTCATATAAAATATATGGAAAACTTTGAATGCTTTGAGTGACCTCTAAATATTTTTTTATTTCAAAATAAAACAAGTAAAAAAGTCCAAGTTCAGGCGGAGCCGAATTTAAATACGTAGGGCGTAATTTTAGTCCGATTTCAATAATTTTAACGTTAAATAACGTTTTACTTTTATGTTCCAAGTACAATAATCCTACCAAGTTTGGTACAAATTGATCAAACGGTTACCAAGATATACATATGCGGTCATAAGTAGGCGGTGTCACGCCCATTTTCCAAAATTTTACCATAGACGTATTTTTTGCTAAAGAATTATTTCAAACATAAATTTTGAATAAATTAGCTTTAGTATTTACCGATTTATCGAAGATTTCGAATTTCTCTAAATTATCGTTATATGGGATGTTGGCGTGGTTATTGTCCGGTTTTAAAACTATTCAGCCACTTGGTGTGTTGTACTAAGGCCAACAACTGTGCCAAGTTTGGGAGAAATTGGTGGAGCGGATACCAACATATACACATATAATCATAAGTTGGCGGGGCTATGCCCATTTTCCAAAAAAGTATAATATTCTTATTTTTTGTATAAAAATTATTGTAAATATAAATTTTTAGGGAATAATCTTCATTATTAAAATATCGCAGTTTCCGTATTTCTGAAAACTACCGTTATATGGGAGGTAGGCGTTCAATACCATCCGTCCTACGCCCAAAAGGAGTACACGTACCAAGTTTCGTTAAGATATCTCAATTTTTACTTGAGTTCTCGTGTACACAGACGGACAGACAGTCACCGCTTAATCGATTTCTCTTTTCATTCTGATCATTTATGTATACTTCTCGATTCGTTTTGCTTGTTACAAGCAACCGTTATGTGAACAAAGTTATAATACCCCTGTACACAAGTGCGCTCGGGTATAAAAATACGGGTATATTTTTTCGACTTTACTTATCTTGAACCACCCCAATGTACATACATACTAGGAATGAATCAAGAATGATAGAATAAGAATAATAGCATAGAATAATAATAATAATAATAGAATAAGAATAATAGAATAAAAAGTTCCACGCCTATGGGAGGTGTCATGTCCCTTTTTACAAACTCATTTATATACAGTACTAGCCGGTCACGGAGGCGCGAAGCTTCGCCACGCGCTGAATGCATGCATATGTATGTACATTTACGTATTTGGAGAAAAAAATCATATCGAGCCTTAGCCGCCAAAATAACATAAGCGAAATTTTTTTAAAAATTTTGTTTTTGATGCAAAAATATTACTAGAGCATCGAGATACATTTCTGCATCAAAAAGAAAATAAAAAAAAATGTCGCTTACGTTATTTTGGCGTTTAGGGCTCGATATGTCATCATGTACTTCGTTTATTATATACATACATACATACAAAATCTTGCCTAAATCCGTTCAGTAGCGTGGTTGAAATATCTCGCCTTTCCTTTATATTATATATAGAAGATAGTAATTTTAAATAGGAGGCATCCCTACTCAAAAAACTTTTGTACATACGAGGGCCATGCAATTTCATTTGGCATCTCATTTTTTTATCCAACGGACGGTGAAGGTGGCAACCCTACTCAGCAAAATAATACATTATTACACATCCAGAGGCTAAGTATTTTAATTTGACAGTGACGGTGCAGAACTGACGCCTACGCTTATTAGAATTGAATATAGTAATAACAGGTGGCAACCCTGTTAAAATTCTAAATTAAAAAGGTCACTCTCCTATCAATACAGAATATATTAGAGAAAATCACGTCAGAATCCGTTCAGTAGTTTTCGAGATTACCGCTTACAAAGAATCTCGACTTTCCTTTAAACTATATATAGATGTATATACATACATATGTATATTCAAATTAGCGAGGGAGATAAGAGGAAAGAAATACGCGAAGAAACTAAACAAAAACATCGTAGTAAGAGTATTTTATTTGAACTTTGTGCTTTAAATATTTTTGACTGAACACTTAAGAGCAATTATAGTGGGTGTATGTACATACATACATATGTAGATACTAAAGTACGTGTACATATGTTCGTGAACTTAATGAAATATAAACATCAAAGTAGGCTCAGCTGATTTATAAATTCTGTCTCTCACTGAAATCCCAACAAATGTAGCCTATGTACATACATGCTCACATATGCAAACAAAAAAGCATCAGCTCCTTACGCTTTTTTGAATACAGCACCTAACAAAATAAAAACTATTTTGAAGAAAGAGCGTCTTCACGTATTATATGTTAGGTACTAATTTTTAAATAGGGTGCAGCCCCATTAAAAAAAATAAAAGCTTATCCGGAGACCATATTCTTTCACTTGATACCTAATTTTTTAGTAAAATGAACTTTGAAAATCATATTATTTTTAGAAAGGTGGCAATCCTACTCGAACAATAATAGATTAATGAACATCTGGAGGCCAAGCGGTTTCACTTCACATCTCACTTTTTGTATTCATACCAAGTTCGAATGAAATAGTAATTTTTAAATAGGTGGCAACCGTACTCAAAAATTACGTGGCGTGGTCAAAATATCCCAACTTTCCTTTATACTAAGTATAGAAAATGGTAAGTTTAAATAGGTGGCAGCCCTACTAAAAAAATAATAAAGTTGTTGTTCATGCGAAGGCCATGCACTTTCATTTGGTATCTCATTTTGTAATCCAACAAACGGCGAAAATCTTTTAACTTTTTAATAGGTGGCGACCCTACTCAAAAAAAATAATACATTATTTCGCATGTTGAGGCTAAGTTTTTTCGTTTGACAGTGACGGCACAGAACTGAGGCCTCCGCTTATAATGATTGAATATAGTAATTTTATTTACAGGTGGCAACCCTATTAAAAAAATTTATTAGTACTTTTCTAGACATCAATCGCTTCCATTTGACACCTCATGTTTTGTAATCCAACGAACTGTGCGGATCTTTTTCTACACAGGCGGCAACCCTTTTAAAATTCTAAGTAAAAAAAAGATCCCTCTCCTGTCGATACAGAGTATATTATAGAAAATCTCTTCAAAATCCCTTAGTAGTTTTTTATATTACCGCGTACAAAGAATCTCGACTTTCCTTTATACCAGACATGGGCACTTATGTCCGTATGGGCTTTTTTGCCCGTACGGGCAAGCGAGCCCATTTCGCGGGCTTGGTCAGGGGAAAGTCATGGGCAAACATGAAGGGGGAAACGAGTCTTACTGGATAGTACTGACTTTGTGCACCAAACAAAGAGCGTAAATTTTACTCATATACACAATAAGCCATCGTTCGGACTCTTCTCCGATAGGAGTAAATTTGTTCCGTTTTGTCGAAATAATTTGAAAGCTACTCCTCTACTCCGCTCAACTAAAAATCTGCTCCGTTTTGTTGCATCAACAAATTTACTTTTCAAATAGAAAGGAGGTGCCGTTTTTAATAGCATATTAAAAGTTGTATTTTATCTTTTTATCGACATGATTGTTACATTGGTGAGCTACAGCACCTTTGCAAATAAACTTGAATTCGTGAATAGGCCCTCACAATCGCCCGATTTGAAGCCGATCGAAAAGATTGCTCTGTGTAAAGTTATGTAATTGCGTCGCTGCCCACCGGTGTAACAATTGTCCCGGTAAAGAAAGAATGAAATAACTTTTTATTAATTTTAACCAAGGCATTTTAACTTTAATGATAATTGCTCGCTGGATTAAGCCGCCTTTACGCGGGTCGATTTTCTAGTAGATTTTTGTCGTTCAACCAAAATGGACCCGTGTAAATGACATCTCAACCGTAAAATGTAAGTGCTTTGTCGATTTTCCAGTCTAGAGAAATCGACCCTTGAAAGGCAGCTTTAACCCCTTATTTAGTCCCACAATACAGCGATACGAGGAGAAATGAATTGTTTGTTATAAAGATAAGAAATGCACATCTACTACGAGAACTGATTTTTATTCCCATTTGGGAGTTCGAACCCGGCAAAGAGGGCTCGATGAACACGATTGAGAGAAATAGAGAAGGCGCCAATCGCGGTACCGCTAATCCGCTCTTTGTGATTTTGACAGAATCAGCTGTGTGCGTGACGTCATCTTGGCGCAATTGTTGATTGTGAGCATACGAAAAAACCAAATAACAATTATAATATTTGTGCGTTAATATTTCTGCGTGGTTTTAAACAATTATTAAGACATTACAAAGCAACATGAAGTGTGCAGTGGCAAAGTGTAATAGTGAAAACAAAAGGAAAGCGTGCGATATAAGTTTTTTTCTCGTTTCCTACGGACGCAAACCTGTCGAAAAAGCGGAAGCAGTTCTGCCGGCGAGGAGAGCATTAAACACCAAATCGAGGTATGTGCATGAAGCACTTTACCAGTGAAGATAATGAAAATAATACACAGTTCGAAATGGGTAACATATTGTGTATTTTCATATTAATTGCATTTAATATTGTTTTTGTAAACGCCTTAAGTTTTGCAAAACCTGGTGCGGTGCCTACCATTTACGAAGAAAATCTGGGGGATTCCCAGCGTGCGGAAAGAGCTCAGCACAGGGAAAACAATTGTCAGCAAGTTACTTGAGCAGAGTGAGACTGCCGTTGCCACTGTAGGTAACAATTTGCATTTATATAAAGTTATATAGAGCTGTGGAGTCAACAGCTGTGGAGTTACCGTCCACAATGACGAGTCCAAAAGTTCACTTTGCTGCACACCTTCTTTTTGGTCTATATGAAATTGCAAACACTGTTAAT